ATTAGGCCAAAAACTTTCAATATTATATGAGAGAGAGAGAGAAACCCCACAAATCCAAATCATTCTGAGAGGCTGTTTGGCAACAGTGGGATTAAAAAATAAAAAATAAAAACTTTCAACAGGAAGAAACCTCCAGCAGAACCAGGCTCAGGGAGGGTTGCTCATCTGCCTTGACCGGTTAGGGTGAGGGTAAGGGGGAGAAACCAAAGGACAGTATGTGTTATACATTTGAAAGAGAATGTTATTATCAATAACCAAGGGTCTATTGAAAGTACTTTGGCTCGCTCTTTCTGTTTTGTACACAGTGTGTCCCATTTCTTTTGGGGATGGAGGGGTAATGGTTATCTTGGCCTACAAAAACCCCCTCCATGCTGTGTTTGGAGGGTTAGATGACCACCACCTCTTATTCCAAAAAAGAAACAGGACATCCTGACCTATGTGTCAGAGTGTGAATGGAGATGTAGGGCCAGGTGGTGGGATTAAGAGGAGGAAGTCAGACAAATAATGGGACCAATAGGTTCTACCAAGTGTATTTAGATCAAAGCAAAGCTTTGGACTAAAAGTTTGGGTATTTCATTTTGACCCTTCTTTTTTTAAAATCCAAATCTTGCAAGTCTCAATATTATGAATGAGTGCACTACAATACATCCACCGAGTACCACTTAAAGTTTGTGTGACTCAGCTTATCAGTCATTGTCATCATTATTTTACAATTGGCTCATATTCACGACCACCAACAGATCTGATAATGATTGAAGTTAAAGTACAGTATGCACACAAAGCCAGGCTGAGTTGGGAGATTTTCTATTGCTAACGATAAAACCTGTCAGTCTGTGTGATAAAAGCCATAATGGGCTACCCAACATTACAGGAAGTTAATTACATGCTTGAAAAACTGAGGTTGAAGCTAATGAATGAACATTAAAGAGCAGGAAATTCCCAGCAGTGACCTCAGGGGGATATAGACATAAAAGAAGTGCAGCTCAGGAGACCCGTGATACTCAGCACAACAGCAATCAACATGAAAACAGCACAAATACATGAATTCCTGTACAAATCTGTCTTAACACAACATGAATGCTCTGTGAACGTTAGCAGGTTTTCAGGAGAACAGTGCAGCTGTGCAGAGTGCTGATGACGTGTCTGATTTATGTTTCAGCTTGTAGGGTATGTCTGTTGTTTGTTTATTTTATCTTTTCTCCAAGTTCTAAGAGTTAAATACATTTGAATCTAATATAGAGGGAATAAATGCTACATTAAGGTGCAGAATTTACACTAATATGAGAGGACACAGTCTGAAATGAATCATTTTAAACACTCCTATCTCATCGAAAATACATGTGTGATGCTGATTGTTAATGCTTAATTCTAAACTTAGTCTGGCTTTGGATGCTGCTGAGACAACTAAAAGCATAAAGACCAAAAGAGTGAAATATCCTGTCAAGAAACCCAATAAATTCACAATGATTCCTTCTGAGTAGCTGTTTGGCTACAGTGGGAAGAAAAAAACTCCCTTTTACCTGTAAGAAACCGCCAGTAGAACCAGGTTCAGGGAGGGCAGCCATCTGACTCAACCAGCGAGAGAGAGAATGGCGTTTACTAGACTGGAAGGGTCTGTAACGGGTATGAAATGAATCATTCTAAACTTTCACACTTTTGAGAGACAAATGTGTGATGCTGATTCTTAATTCTTAATGTAATCTGCTTTGGTTAGCTTAAAAGCTTCTGTGTAACTATTGAAGGATGCTGCTGAAAATAAATCTGCACTCAGCTAATCTCTTTTAGATAATAAAGGCAGAACACAAATAAGTAAAAGATCCAATCAAGGGATCCTAAAAGGAAAAAAAAAACAACAAAATCACAAGAAAATCAGAAATCTAGAAGCTAAGAAACACACATATACCCAGCTAAAACACTCAACAAAGTCAATAACAATTAATTACATCCCTGCTCCTCTGAGGTCCATTACAGAGTTATTGAACATGTGGTGCTCATCACTTAAAAAGCCACATTAAGCTACTAATTAGCTGATTGTATTTCTTCATCCTCGGGGATCTGGTGAGCGCAGAAATGAACAGTCAGCACGACTGTGAGCGGGAAACCAAAGCAGAGCCGAAGCTCTTCATCTGCACAAGATGTGAACATTTAATTGAAGGCCGGTCAATGAAACGCTCTGTGGGACCGACTGAAATGATGAAACCTCTTGACTTCTTTCCTTGCAGGCCCTCGTATTAAGTAGCACACTGATGTTTGTCAGACACAAAAGCGTAAAGAGCTAAATGTTGTTCAGTGTAACATGTGCTCATGTTGGCTTTGGGGAGAAACCGTACCACTGAGACCACTTTAACTCACACATATTAGTTTCATTAAATATTATCTCATAGCAGAGTGCTGCTGTGAGCTGAGACTGATAAATTCTGCTTTTCATGACTAACGGTTCTGTCTTACTGAATATCTGCTGCTTTTATTTGTCTTTGTCACCTTTCCTTATCTTTCAGATTTTCCTACAGTCTTGTTTTCATCCTCAAGCTCACTTTTAGACTTATTTTTACATGCTTATTTTTATTTGCTGTGTGCTGTTTTCTTCATTTCAGGATTGCTTTTGGCTGACCTGACATTTGTTCTCTTTCTGGAACCACAATAATAATCGTTTTAAAAAGTCCTCCTCCTCCATGAGACATGTGAGGGTTTATATAATTTCATTTAACATCTATGCAGTAAAACTACAGCAGTAATCTCTCCTGCAGGCAGGTCACATATGCTTGGTTTGGATGGAAGTTTTTTCACATGAACACGTCTGTGATTTCACCACATTACAACATTAGGTTCAACTGGCACCCAAATGAACAAATGAAAATTAATTTACAACACATATGTATTTCCAGCTAATGCGTCATAATTTTTTGTTTTTGTTGTGGGCTTTCTCTCTGACGAGGTTCTATTGATTTCTCATTGATTTCATCATTTGAAGGTGATGCACATGTTCCACCAGCAGGGGGCAGTAAGGTTTCACAGGCGACGTCTGCAGCAAAGTCCTGCTGAAGTTAAGTCTCCTCTGAAGCACATGGATATTGTGTTTTTTCCATCAAACTTATTTATCAGAAATTACACAATGTGTTTCAGGGATGCTATCTTTATTTAACCTCACTACTTGTCAGGTTTTTCTGACATGAAATGTAGGTTGTTTTCTGAGCAGATTGTGTTCTCTGTTCCTCTTAAAGCTCTCATCCTTCTCCAAACACCTGCTGCTTTCTCTGCACAATAATCATATCATACTCAGATTTGTTGTTGTGGTTTGTTTCATAACAGCTTGGTGTTTTTCCCTCACGGCAGCAGCTGTTTCTCTGAGCCTCATAAACACTCTGGACACACAGATTGTTTCCTTTATGAGTCCACGTTGTTGCAGAACGTTGCATCACTGAATGCAACGTCTCAGTGTGTCAGTGTGTATCGTCACCACAACCTTCAAGGTTTTTGAACCCGGTCAAGGAATATGAATATTGCATGTTTTTAGTTTGGATTAACAATTCTCAGGTGGTCTGATACTTTTTCCCACTTCAGTTTGTGTTTCTTTGACACTATATTCAATACAAATGGTTTAGACTTTTGCACTTGTAACTGGATGTTTATGCAGATAAAAGTGGACACATTCAAATGCTTGATTCAGTTTTTAACTTCTAAACAAAAAGTCTGCTACAAGTTTTTACTTTTTCTTAATATAAGCAATAATTTATGAGAAGAAATGTAAATCCTGTCACAGTTGACAACAATGTTTTTGGCTTGGAAGTCCCTTTAATCCCTATCAAGGCATCTCTGTGCTTCAGACTTAAATATTTTACATTTTTTACAATAAAAATAATCCTGTCTTTCCCTAAAATGGCTTAGATGCAACTCTACATGTTGCTTTGTCTAGAATGTGCAGATCTATGAAGTCCCTGTCTCTCTATTACTGCAGATCAAGCACACCAGCTCGCCTACAACTCTGCTAAAACACTTAAACTACTTTATGAAGCGCAACGGCAAGCTGCAATTAAAAAATTAGAGCAAGAAGTCCGTTCTGAAGAAGAAGAGCAGTGCTACAGAAAGCCCTACTTCACAATTTGAGGATCGGTTCCTCAGGTCATATGAAGCTTCAGAAATCTGAATGCATGTTTTTGAGACTGTTATTACACTGCAGTTCCAAGGTGTCTATTGTCTGATGTGACACTGACAGCTGATTTCACTGAATTCAAGATGTAAAGAGTCTTTACTATCAGTTGTGGAATAATTGTACTTAAAGGGACCGAGGAATTCTACCAGAGAAAGCCTTTTCAGATTGTTGCATATTTAGGATTTTTAAACATTTTTATTAAGGAGGCACATCCAGGCTTTCACAAGAAAAAAACTTATTTTTTAAAAAAGTGCAGCCAAAAGTTATGTTGTTTTTCCCCCCTTTTTATAGCTGTAATCTTTTTTGCAAACCCCTCGGATAGATTTTGGAACTTCGAGCAGATCATCTCGTCTGTATAACACATATTGTATTGCAGATTGTTTTTCTCTGATAAATTGAGGCCACATGCTAATATGCAGCAGTGATTGATGTTCAGTTTCCCAAACCTCAGACATGGCGCTGTTTATCTTCAGAGGCCTGTTTGTTATTTATGTTCGAACTGATGCTGAGCTCCAAAAAAAACCAAAAAAACCCACACTAAAACATATGCTTGTGGATCTGAATTTGCATTCCTCATACAGCGCAGAAGAAAGCCTGTTATATATCAGGCCCAGAAACGCCTTGAACAAATGCAGTGATGTCATGTGAACCATACACCCCCTTCTGTATATGCGAGCCTATTATGTAAACAAATAAAACACCCAGGCAGCCAGCTCCAACATGTGACGAATTCAGGCTGCTCGCCAGCATCTACAGCGACAGCTTATTAATTATGTAATTCATAAACCTTCTGTCTGCCAACACTCGCACATGTCAGGTGTGCAGCGCAGAAACAGGAAAGAGAGCGACGTAGAGTCTAAAACAAGTTTTTATTGGTCAATATACAGAAAGCAGTGGGATGACCACTAAAGAGAGAGAAATCCCAACCATTTTGTTTACAAAAAGAAAACCAAACCGATATATAAAATAACTGTCTCGAACATTTTTACAGGGTTTGTTTTTATATGTAAAAGAATCATTTTTTTTTTTCTCTTTAATCTTTCAGAAGCATAATATGACAAAAGTGGGACGAAGGAAACAAGGCAGTTGTTTCACAATGATGACATCACTATCACAGGTGCTTAAAGGCCAACAGAGGGAGGGACAGGTGACAGTTAGAGAGCTCAGAGGGAGGAGGAGTCATCGTCCACACATAGAAATGGGAATGTCGGGGTTCGTTTCAGCTCGTCTGAACGACTAGACGAACTCTTGGAATTCAGTTATGTGTGAGAAAGTTGTAATCTGTAGTAGCGACGGTACAAGCTGTAGTTGTGGTGAAGCTGTGAGGGAATGTGGACTTGATAAGAGACGTGAAAACAAACAATCGCTCTGCTTCTTCGCTCCAACACTCACTGAAGTTGCTCTGTGGGGCTTTAACCTGACTTTAAAGGGGCACTCCAACAATTTACACACCATCACTTTCCTCTACATCCAGAACTCAGTCAGTAAAAGGAGTTAATGTCACCTGTGGGTTTTATTCTTGCTTCGACAGAGTCTGCAACAAACTGGAGGCGTTCTGCTTAAAGACAGCTGGAGACCTGGTTTCGCTCACCTGCTGACATGTGACACGAAACAAAACACACTAAGATCTTATATGACCTATTTTTTGTTGCTCTTTATCTCTTTGCTGCTGTTGAATCCTTCTAGCAGTCAAACATTTTTGCTGTTTTTGAGTTTGAAAAAGCCCCTAAAGACAATTTTGGCAGCCGTGGTTTGGACCGCCAAGGTCCCCCCAAGGCTAAAACTGCAGAATCCACCTCACATGGGAAGGGTCTGAAAAGTATCTTAGACAGATGCCCTAAGTACCTCAGAAAGAGCCAGTTGAGGCGGTTCAGGCTTCCCCCATGTGAGGAGGAGACCCTGGGGCAGAACCAGGAGACACTGGAGAGATTATGTGTCTAGGCTGGCACGGGAACGCCTTGGAATGCCCCAGAAAAGCTGAAAAAGGAGACCAAGGTCTGGAAAGCTCTCCTGAGGCTGCTGCCCCTACAGCCCGGATAGGAAGAGGTAGAAAACAAATGGATTAAGTTTAAAAGAAAGTCTTAACCCAGAATTCACAGTTAATTACATACAAGGGTCAAGAACAAGTGAGCTTTCTGCAACAGATGTGTCAAACTGAAGTCTGATTATTTTTCTAGCTTGTTCTAAGCCGTTGTTTTGTGAAACAGGCAGGTGCTCTGCAGGTCCAAGATGCTACTAAGCTGGCAGATGGCATTTCTGGAAAATGACCGACAGTCTGCACTAAACTCAGAATATGCCGGCCTGTGTTTCACCAGAGTGTAAATGTGTCTCTCTTCAGTCCTTTAAATACACACAGTCTAAATCAGTGGAGTGCCCCTGTTTCTGTGTACTGGTCTGTTATACTGGGCCCATAATTGCATAGAGGGCTCCCTTCACTATAGATATATCAAAAGGAAAAACAAAACACAGGGTCTCAGTCGAATACAGTAACATCTCCGTATCTTTTCATCTGCTGATAAAAGAAAGATAAGTGATCTAACCCTAAACAGCAAAAGCTACATTAGGCCACAGTATGGATAGATATGACACACAGATAAATGCAAACAAAGAGCCATCGGCTCTGTTGTTTCAAACTGTATTTTAACTACAATCCGCTTTTTCCATTCAAGACTGAAGGAAAGTGACCATTTTTTAGATTTAAAATACGTTTGAGAAACCAAAGGTAGACGATATTCAACATTTAATAAATCCGCTCTGTACTGTATGTAAACCAGGAGAGATGTGGAATGTTTATGGTGAGAGATCACGTTTCTCTTTAGTGTCCAGGCCACAGAACCACAGAACTGTGATGCGTTAGGAGAAACTCAGCACACAGACGTCAAAGAACAGAGAGGTGTCTGGTTTGAGACAAAGATGAGAACGGAGTGACAGTACAGCTACGTCATACCTACTATTTAGGTCATGGGAATCATATTTTTAAAGTTTATGGATACATTAGATAGTTGGTATGTATATGAATACATCAGTTCAATTCATCATCATCTTGCGGTTAAAACAGTTAATAACTTAACATTTTGCAAACAATCTGTCTATAAAATAAACAATACCAAAGTAATGTAAGGACATGTATTAAATGTTGGTCAATTTAACCTTTTTTTTTGGGATCTCCATATTTATGATATGCTTTATGGTTTGGGAATTTAATTTTATCAGCAAACCTCTAGATCCTGAGGTCTGCACACATTATGAGATGACTGTGCTTGTTTGATATATTTTGCTCTGCTTCACTGACTGTGATGTGAATAATAATAATGTACACACAGACAATGTTTTTCCAGCTCTGTGGGACTGCAGCTGATTCACTGTGTGTCTGACTGTGTCCAGCAGAGGGAGATATTTCATCAAAAATGACACCACGGAAAGATCGAAAGTGTTTTTCCAGCAACAGATTGTAAATTATTTCATAAGAGATTTTATTCCTGTGTACTTGTACTGAGCATGAAGTGTGAGTGTGTTTGTGTACGTGTTTGTGTTGTCGATAGAGAAAGAGACAGAAAGAGGTGAACACAGAGAGAGAGAGAGAGCGTCAGTGTAGATGTTCATGTCTGTGTGTGTGGTCAGTATGTTACAGAGGAACTGTCCCACTCAAGTTTTCCCTTCTGCTTCCTCTCTTTCATCTCTTTTCGCCCTTCGTCGTCTTCCTCCTCTTCCTCCTCATCGCTGTTGTCTGACTCAGCGCTCGTCACTCCTTCCACCAGCTCGTCCTCCTTTCCTTCCACCTCTTCGCGTTCTTCATCTCTTACTTCCTTCTGCGGTCCTCTAATGTTCTAGAGAACAAGAAGAAGCCTTTATTTGTCACAAACGCAATATAACACCATGAAACTCTCTTCACATAGTCCAGCTGCTAGAGCAGATAGAGTTAAGGGCCTTTGCTAATGGGTCCAACAGTGGCACTGTGGTTTGAAGCCCCCAGACCTTCTGATCACTGCTGAGCCACCACTGCCTCAAACACAGATCAAACTGAATCACAGTGTAACCCATCCGTCTATTATCTATACACCGCTTAGTCCATCACCAGTCTATCACAGGGCTACACTTAGAGACAGACAACCATGTTCACTCACATTCGCACCTACAGACAATTGAGAATCACTATTTTAACCTCAGCATGTTTTTGGACTGTGGGAGGAAGCTGGAGAACCCGGCGCTGCACCGGGAGAACATACAAACTCCACGCAGGAAGATCCCGGGTGTCCCCACCAGGACGCAAACCAGGGATCTTCCAGCTGCAAAGTGACGGCGCTAACCTTGCAGCCCCAGTGTAACCCAGTCAGCTAGAAATGACATCCTTGTACAAATAAAGTTGAGGCAGAAATTCAACTAGAAGGATTTGCTCGCTTGCATTCTGTCTCCATTCTTTCTGGTGAATATGGTTATTATTCCTGCTGCTCCATTTTCTATTTCACTGCAAATTTCCCACACTGTAAAAATCCCACTCAAACTCAACATTTACTTGTTTTGTCCACTGATCTATCAGCCTGCGCTGTCCAAGCCAATCAGCCCTGTGACCCCCGTCCTTAAACTCACTCCATTCTGTCACTCTTTCTGTCTTCCAGCCCACTGATCATGCATCCTTCCTCTTCCCTATCTCCACCTCATACAGGCCGTTCATGGTGTCGGGACTCCACAATGTTGCTTCTCATGTCTCTGAGGTAAACATTTCCTTTCTACTAAGTGTGACCTCTCCTTATTGAATTGTGATGCAACATCGTTTATGTTTCGAATGGTGTTGGAAAGATGGAAATTCTTCCAGTTTGAAGGAACCACTAAGGCCGCACAAGGAGGTAGAAGAGGATGACAAGTCCTGTTACTGGCTTATGGCACCAGGACTTTTCCCCCCCTAGACTTAAGCTTTGTTTTTATTCATTGCTTGGATAGTTTAAGGCATCATAACTACCTTGTTAGGAAAATGTTGCACTTAGTGCCACTTTAAATGCCACTTGGTTGCCATTTTCACAATGACAACTACTTGTTAGAAACTTGGTGAAGTCCGGGCACTAGAATTATGGTTTGGGTTATAAAACGACCCTTTCACGACATGTTTAAAGCTTCTCCTTGATTTTCTGGGTTTCCAGGGCGACGATTCCGCCTCATCGAATTTATGATCGATTGGCTGAAAAGGAGTGACGGTAAAGCAACAGAACAAAGGGGAAAGATACGTCGATTAGGAATACCTTTGGAATAAGTCACAAATGTAATCTGGCAGAAAATAGGTTTCCCTCAAAACTGACAATACAGCTCGCTTGTATAGAAACATCATTTTTGATAAGCAGAGCTGCAGTGGCATGTGAAATACATCAGCAGCAAACAAAAGCATGTACGTCCACATTAAAGCTTTCACGTCCTCAGATATTTTAAACATGGTGAAGGAATTAAATGCCCACAGCTCTCACTGACTTGGCCCCAGCATTCAGGGTTACCTCCATGGGGTTGACAGTGATGGTGAGAGCAGAGTTGTCCCAGTCCACCTCTGGATCTTTGACCTCCTCCTCCTCCTCTCTGGAGCCTTCCTGATGTGTGGCGTGAATCCTGTAGACGCCGATCACCACAATCACGACCAGGGCGGCAATACAAACCACGATGACGACTGTGGCTGCAGGAGGTGCTGGTCCTGGAGGAGAAGAAAAAGATTGCAGTAACTACGCATACATATTCATGGACGCACAACTGAGTCTGAACACGACTAGAACTCCAACTTTTGGCTTAAACTAAATATAAAAACTATCAAATAGCATTGGTACCCCAGGATATACACTGCTTCTCTTTTCTGTTTTAGTCTTTCATCTAAAGTCCAAACTAAATAAAAATATCTTGCTTTAAAAACCTCGTCTTGTTTTCATTGTTTGTTTATGATTAAATTGAATTTGATTGTTGAAGTCTTGTGATGGAGCTAGCGAGACAACGCTTTAGAACACAGAAATCAGCATTTGTTCATCTTGTCTGAACTGCTTACTTAAACAGAAAACTCCATTTAGATGTTCATTTTAATCACACACACTGCGCTCCTCCTCCGTCAGGCTGCTGCACAGTGACAACAGTGAGTCTAAGCTGCACCCACAAGAAGGAAATTCTAATTTAATAGACATTTACATGTCCAGACTGTTAAAATATCCATTAAAGTTCAGCTTTGCTTTCATCTCCAAATAACTTTTTGGTTTACAAAAAGACTGTCCTTTTCTTCAAGAAAGTGAATTCTTCTGAAGCAGCACGTAACAGAACAGACGGCGGTGCCTGTCTGTTGTAGCAGCAGAAATCTTTGCTGTCAGGTGGTTTAGACAAAGTGCAGCTAAAACATCACTGATCTTCACAGCACCAACTCTTCACCACAGAAAACATTTCAGCGGCTCACCTGACATGTGGGAGTTCAGAGTATGTATCATGAGCGGGTGATGGACGGGCCTCATGTACTGGGGCTGGGCAGCCATATGATTGACGTGCTCCACAGGCGCTGAGTGGTGAAGAACACTGACCTGTAGAGGAGACACAAAAACTGTGTGACACGAGACGACAGACAATGCGAGACAATCTTGTGCGAGAGGTGAAAAAAAGAAGACATACGAGGTTTGTCAGGAAAGTTCCAGGACTGGTGTCATAAAAAAACAACATATTTCAAACCCAAGCTACCAGTTTTCCCCTTCAGACGGTCAACCAGCACGTCTACAAAGAGATCCTGCGGCATTTGCTTTGTTCAGTGCGCGAGAAGAGGCCAGAGTTGTGGCAGGACAAGTCGTGGCTGCTTCACCATAACAACGCGCCTGCTCACGATGCCCTGAGCATCCCACAGTTCCTGGCTGAGAAGAACACCGCCGTGCTGGAGCAACCTCCATACTCACCCCACCTGGCTCTGTGGGATTTTTTTCCTCTTCCCCAAGCTCAAGGGGGTCATCAAGGAGACCAGTTTTAAAGATGTGGACGACATCAAGACGACGGAGCTGTGGAGGATCCCGGAAGAATCCTTCCAGGAGTGCATGGCGGTGTGGCAAAGAAAGCTGGGAAAGTGCATTAGACTCCAGGGGGATTACTTGGAAGGGGAAAACTTGTAGTAGATTTGAAATATATAACCTTTGTGACACCAGTCCTGAAATTTTTCTGACACACCTCGTAAATATGCTTTAATAAAACTAATCACTACTGATGATTTAAAGACAGCAAATGGCCAAGAGAAACACAGAAAAGACAGAAGAAGAGAATGTTTAGATAAACCATCAAAGTCACCTCCAGATTGAACTCGTTGCTGGTGTAACGTCCGTTGAGTTCGGAGCAGGTGAGCCTGAACCTCCTCTCACTCAGAGTGGCAGGTCGCCAGTTCCTGTAGCGCACCTGTCTCAGTGCCTGCTCATAGTGGGCCATGGAGTCCACACCTTGTAGCACAGGAACAAACTATGTCACACTACAGCCCAACACATGTTGTGAGGTAGACCTGTTTGTCAGTGTAATAAATAAAGCAGGAACCTGCAAGCCATTGTTACAGATCTTCCTTCAGATTTTAAACACAATAACCACCCTTTTTTTCCCCCAGACTGTACCATATATTGATATTCCAGAGGTGGAGTTAGTGGCATCAAGGTGTTTTCCCAGCAGAGCACTGTGATGGATCTCCAGACTCTCTCTGTCAGGACTGAGCTCCTCCCCAATTACCAGCACATCACAGTAGTCCAGGTTGTGCATCACCTCCATCACACCAGGTCTGCGGTCTGAACACAAAAGTGCAGGTGAGTGAAAAGATTTGAAATGACAAAATGTTAAATTCCTACAACATCCATCCATCCATCATCTATACACCGCTTAATCCTCATTAGAATCGCGGGGGGCTGGAGTCTATCCCAGCTGACTTAAGGTGAAGGCAGGGGACACCCTGGACAGGTCGCCAGTCTATTGCAGGGCTACACTTAGAGACAGACAACCAAGCACACTATTCCTACAACATCTGTGAAAAAAAACAAAACATCTACAGGAAATAAACTGAAGCAGTATAAACAGGTCGGCACTGTATGACACGAGAGCATCTAGAACAGCCTGGTGAAATCGTGACGCTCACATCCTCCGAAGCTGTCTCCCTTCATTACTGTGCTGGTGATGTGAAGCTCTTTGAAGGGAGCCACACCCAGCGGGCCCCGGAGGTCACCGGCAGGCCTGACGAGTCGATTAGATCCTATAATGGTGATTCTCGGTTCACTGGGCGGCAGCACCATAACTACTGCCTTGATGTCTGGGATGGAGAGGCACGTGTCCTCGCCGAAACACCTGAAACACACACGCAGGAGAGCAGAGGTCACAGGACAGGACAGCATCGGTGTCACTGCATCTCTGCTCTTGATTTAACTGTGCTGGTGTCGTGTTCACTTGTGCTGTTTAATCACAACAAAATACTGTGAAAAATACACTTCTTGTTATCAAGAGATGCAGTAGAGTAACACTGTTGCACTGTAAATAATAAGAACAGGAAACAATAGGACAGAAAGCATGTGTTACAGGACCTGACAAAATGCAATTCTTTATAGGATTAAAATCCATGACTAAGTAAGCAACAGCCAGGTATACGCCTGCTTAGAAATGGGTAGTTTTGTACGACAACAAAACTAAGATTAAACGCTTCATCACGACTGTGTGTGTGTGGTTTAATCAAATTAAGTTGACAGAGGCAGAGCAACAAAAGCAAACGGCAACATGCTTAAATCCCTTTGGAGCAAGGAATATGTGACAATTTTTTCCCCCAACAGAGCCAGCGACAGTAAAACCAGGAAGAAAAACACAAACGCATAAATAAACATAGCTCTCATAACCAGGACTATTCTAACTTTAACAGAAAAATGTTGTTTTCACACAGAGAAAAAAGGCAGTTTTTTATATATTTATTACTAAAAAACAAGACACAAAGTGAGCAAACAACCCACAATCAGTCATCTGATTCAAATATTACTAAACCAAGATTGGTTCACAGCATCACCTCTTTCTAACGGAACCTGCTCATTTCAAAGCTGTGAGGAAAAGAAATGCGGAAATCTCGCCTGTGAGAAAACTGTCAAAACTTTGAAAACTATGTACTAATGTAGGATTCCTCTGAGGAAGGAGCCAAAAGAGGAAAATAAGTTTTCAGTGTGTTTAATTTGCAGCTGAGGTGCTTTGTTTGTCCAATCAATTTCCAATGCGTGATTATAATTGATTACCACTTCTAAGGTTTGTTAGAACGCCAGAGCAGGCTGGTGATAAACACTGAAAACTGGCAAGGATGCAAAAATTCCCTAATGCTCCTTTTACCCCTTCATCAAGACAGGCCCACTGCTGTTAAAACAGATATGCTAATTCAAAGGGTTTAGCAGCACGTTTTCCTGTGACTTTGAGTAACAAAATATATTACTATCTCTTTCCCAAAGGTAAAAATTACATATTTCTAATTGCGTGTAGGAGACAAATCACATCCAAACAAAAAACGGTGCTTAATCAGTAGAAAATGATCTCAGCCTTAGGATTTATTGTCTTGTTTTCAATTTTAGACAAAAAGTGTTACTTAATGGACCCTGAAATTAGGGGGAATTGCTTATATTTTCATGCATGTTCTTTGAATCAGTTTCCTTGTTCTGAGCTGTTTTTGTGTTTTATGCTTTACCATCTAAAAAATTTAATCTAAAAGTAATATAATGTTTATCTTTTTCTGTCTTCACAGGGTTTATTATTTTCTGTAATTAGCATACATATGCGCCAGAAAAACCCAGTTTCAACCGAAGCATCCATTTCACAAGACTTAGAGAGACGATTAGCCACAATCCCAGATTTAAAAAAAAGATGCTATTATGTTTAAAAACTAAAATGTTATCATGACTTGAAACCTTACTGCAAAGTCTGAGTCCGAGTGCAATTAGCCATGACACCTGCTTTCATAAACAGAACATAAATCTCCAAAAGGAAATAAAAAAAACCCATCTGTAAATGAGGACGATACACAAACAGAGAATGTCAGCCTGAAAGGTCTCAGATGAACCCCGCCTTGTTTGAAATGGTACGTTTTTTTGAGACAGTAAATACTTAAGTAGCAGTTGTTGAACTATTCACACTGCAGGTCACGACTTAGACACACAGCTTAAAAACAACATAAACAGAAATATCAACGTGTGGAATGAGACAAATTATTGTCTTTGTTCTTCAGGCACTGACTAAAAACATGTAGATGGGAGATGAATTAAAGGAAAAAAAACTGTCAGAAGGGTCATCATGTGCCACCACAACAGCTTCAGTGCTTCTGCTATTGATTCTCCAAGTCTCTGGAACTCAACTGTGGCGACTGAACACCATTCTTCCAAAAGATATTCTGTCATTTGGTAGAAACAGGGTTTTCTGCACCTCGTCCAGCAGTTTACAGCTAACCAACTGGTGTCATTTCCCATAATTTAGCCATCCTAATCAAGTCAACCTGTCTGTTCAGCATTTTCAACACATGCCAAAGCGTATGACTGGATGTTAAATGCTTGACTGTACCAAGACGTGCACCCATGTGGAGGCATCTGCATTCACCGATTTTCCACTCGTGCATTCAGGTTTTGCCTTTAATTTGTCACTCGTCTGTATGTGCTGAGTGCAAATATCTGCCTTTACCTCGAGGGGAAGAGGGAGGTGTTATTCAGAGTCAGACAACCTCAATTGTTGCTTTTCGAGCTCACATCACTTTATTGACAACATGCGTCCAAGTTGATTTGACCTGCCTGCATTTGCTGCTCAGCAACTGAACAGGTGCTGGATGAGTATGAAGACAAGAGCAGGACATGAAGCATATGCTGCAGGACACATGAACAAATATCAAGCCCTCAGTCTGCACACAAACGTATACACACTCTGTAACACACAAATGCAACCAAGTACTGCTTGTCCATTACATTTTATGTTTACAATGTATACTGGAAGCGGATGATTTGGCCTGAATGTGGTGTCAGAGAAAATATCAGTGGGTCACCACAAACAAAACAAAACCAAAATCCATTTGGGGGGAGGGCTGAATATCTATCGTGATTCCATCTGTTTTCAGTGTTGGAAAACAATATGCTGGTGTCTGCAGATTTTATGGCAATCGGAAAGCACTTTGAAAGATGTTTTATTTGCTGGAAAGAGAGACAGGCTGAGTGACTGACAACAGCAACCTGAGAATGTGCTGCTAGTGAACAAAGTCAATCCAATCAAGTAAAATCAAATCAAATCCAGACGCAGAAAAACAGACCGAGAAGATAGAGAACAAAAAAAAAAAAAAAAGACAGAGCCAAACCAAGGAAAAGTAGACTCCAACAATATGGTTTTTGCAATTACCAGAAGGCTTAATGATCTTAATGGACAGCTGGTTGTTCAGTGGTTTAATAGTTTCTACTCTAATGATGCATCTTTTGCCATCTCACTGAGAGCTCTGTGGCTTAAAGACAAACACAACACATCTGACGCAGCCAGCGTTTAACAGTCGACTCCTCAGGCTGTTTGTAACTTCTGTGATCAACTGCTGGACCACCGTTGATCATCTTGTTTCATGTATTAGGCATGCATCATTTCATATTAGTGTTGAGAGGATAGTTAACATCAAACAGAATATCTTTAAACCAAAATGTGTGTCATAAAGAGTTCAAATCTCAGTCTGCACGGAGAGTAGCATCTTTACATTCCTGCTCACTACGCTTTTACAACATACACAGAAAAGGAAGAACACAGAACTTGATGGCACGTTAAATGTGTAGCTGCACATCCGACAGACTCCCGTATCTCCTCGTGACCCGCTGAACGCATGAAGCCAGGGAGATAGAGAGTTATCTAACGTGGGCTAATGAATTAGATAATTCAGTATCGATGCCGACATGCACAAGTATCTTATCTGCCTCACTAGTACACAACCTGTGTAATGAAAAACCCACAGAAACACGATTTGCACTGAATCAAGTTAAGATAAAGCTACAAGCTACGTGAATGACCAAACATGCACACACACACACACACACACACACACAACAAAGCAACACAGCCTAAAGGTAGTTATATTCCACTTGTCTAGAGGGCAGGAGTGTAGCGAAATCAACGTGACGGGTCTTTGAATGTGTTTATCTGCTGGACCTTTTATCAGTGATATGAAACTAGTCGCACTGCTGACAACACAGCGGAGAATCTTCCCGTATTATTCCATATGTGTGGTTTGGCAACCAACAGGTTTCTTAGGTACCTTTTCATTTGGTTGGATCATTTTGTGAGTAAACATCAGTGTCTCTGAATCTCACATAAATATGACAAACAGAGAATACCTGTATCTGCAAATTAAAATATAAAAAAGCCAAACTTTACCATGTAGGGAAAAAGCAAAGAAAAACGTTAAACTCTCGTCTGTTCCAGTAGAGCAGCTCAGTAACTAAGAGGATGTAAAGCAGAATGTAAAAGAAAAAAAAAAAAAAAGTCAGTGTGTTTTGTCTCCTTGATAACAGAGTTTGAAATGCAGCCGAGGACATGTGCACTCACTGTACTGTAGTGGTGATGTGAAGCCGTCGGAGGCCCGCCGTGGGGAACTGGCGAGAGTTGATGTAGGAGACCTTGGTCATGGCCGTGTTGATGCTGTCCACATCCTCTCCCTCCACCACCAGCACAGACTGAGCTGGGTTGAAATGAAACTGCACAGACACACAAACACTCGTTTTCAAAGAATCTAGATTCAAACGGTTGTCTTTATGTTTTAACTCGATAAACATAATTCCCCTCTACCTACAGTAGAGGGGACAACATGTACATTCTATACGGGAATCAAAGAATAGCTTCTAAAGATATAAAAACGTCAGTCTTCACTGCTCTAAAGTGAGACATGAATCCTCAACAGGATACAGTGCATTATTTCTCCTTTTACATTAATGCAAAGGTAGTCAGCCGTTACTATGCTACCAACCAAGGGATGAAATATGTTGCTTATTGGTAACCGTGTCTGCATTTTTCCACGCACCTTTATGTCCTTCGCGAGGCTTTCAAGGGAGTTAATATCAAGGCCTTCTTTGCAGGCCTGCAAACAGGAGATAACCTTCTGCGTTTCAATGCGTCCTGGTCGGATTGTCAGACCTGACAGGCTGCCATGGAAATACTGAGTGAACCTCGGGGTCGCTACCTCACCACCTGGTGGGGAAAAGAGAAGACATGGGTTAAAAAAAAACAAAAAAAAACAAGCAAGCATAGGAAAGGAAAGTACAGCAGTGGAAAAGAGGCAAAGTGAGAAGCGACGCAAAAGAAGACAATTGGATTGAATAACAAAACATAAGGTTAAAAAAAGACATTGATGGCATGTATTATGCATGTTTACAAGGCAAAGGTGCTTAGAGTTCGCTGACATCACCATCTGCTTCAGAAAAGGCTTACAAGACAAACTATGAAGATTTTTTTCCCTTCAAATCTAAGATAAGAAAGAAGCATTGGAGACAACCTCCAGCCCCTACATGAAATAAAAGTAATTTAATTGCCTTGACAATGACATTGTGTTTCACAGTTGTCTGATCGGGTTTACATACTTAATCATTTTAGGGTGGAAATATTGAGCGGCTTTGGAATAACAAAAGCCTTTTTCAAAATAAACAGCGAATACACGGGGAGATGCTTGTAACCTCTAACTAAAAACAAAATAAATAAAACAAACTAAGAGCAGGAGAAGCTCGTATTCACATGTCAGGATATTTCTGTTTGTATTGCTGCTGCACACCCAAGATAAGCTGGAGAAGCAGGTGGCAGCAAACTAAGAATAGGTGGCACTGCAGGAACTGAAGTTATAGCCTATAGACTGTAATGTGCAATACTCAAAGAAATATAAAAATGCATTTCCGACCACTGACACACAAGTTGATTTTGACACTTCCTGTCAGGGTGTCACTTTGAATTTGCTTCATGACTTTGATAGACGGCAGCGCGTGCTTGACCTAAAATATTTTGCGACCGCCAGAGGCAGCAGGAAATACGGTCATTCATACGAACTAAATGGAATCTCTAGTGCAAGTCAACACATTGGCACAGTCCTTGTGTTGAGGTATCACAGCAGTAACAGTCTGTGGAGTCTATTCCATCATAAATTCTGTCAGGTCCTGACATCTTCTTAAGAGTGCACTTTTTCATTCAGAGCAGCAGATTTTCCTGTAGGACCTGTCAGCTCTGCCCTGTGGTGCAATTTCACCGCTTATGATGAAGTGTGTCATTTCTACCAAATCATACAGCATAGGTCTCGTCCACTTAAGGAAAATTAACGCCTGTGTGAGTTTTTTAGGTCAGCTATGGCTTATACCTTTTGAAAAATGCTAGCAAAGGGTGACCAGTCGTTTTGCAATAATGCAAATAACCCGGTATCTCAGCCTGTATTTATCCTCTATATATGTATTCAGTATCGGATACAAGTCAGTCACAGAACTGAAATGTGAGCTCCTGAGAAAAACAGTTCCCAGAAATTTACAATTACATTAACAATTAAATCCTTGAGAATATTATTTCCTGAAATACAAAATATTTGCACAAGACCATAAAAGAAAACGGACAAATCTGTTCCCCATTAATATTTTCTTTATCCAAATACAAAGTTGTGTTGGTCATGTTATTAAATTTGTTTACTTTAACTTTTAATTTACTCACATTAATAAAAGCAAACTGTTTTACTTTCTTTTATTAAGCAACCTAAAGGAGACTTAAATAATTTACTCTAATAACCAACAACAAAAACAAACCATATTAACAATTTATGCATTCCAACTCTTACGCTGAAGCTTTGATTAAATTCTATTTTTCCTGTTTCGCTGCAGACTACACAATTCTTCTTTAACACTGTTGAATATTGACTCAGCAGTTTTGTTGTTTAAGGTTATTCACTCGTTTAACACAGGAGTTCTCCCGTTGCAGAACTGTTCTGTACAGAGATGCTCGAGGGAACTGCAGACAGAAAGTGCAGATGTTATTCTGAACCAGCAGCCTGCACAGGGCTGGAGGCACTGACTCCCTCAGCTCTGTCAGCGAGAACCAGACAGGAGTGCATACATGCAGAGCTGGGAGACAAAAGGTCCTGTCACAGAGAAAACTGCTTCACATATTGACATTTATAACAAGATAATTACTTTATCAATATCTGTGAGCGGGAAGGAGAAAATTTAATTGTCTATATGTGATGATATTCACATTTACAGCTGGTCAGATGTCAATGAGGACTGAAGAAGATTCCTTAACTCTGGTTAATCAAGGCAAGAGCAGAGACTGACAGGGATGTCAAGTAGTCCTCACATCAAACTTCAATAAATTCAAACTTACATCTTTGCTTTAAACAACCTGATGACACAGTTTGACTGATTCGGACCTATTTTTAAGGGTCACACTAGCCTCAAGACCTTCAACAGACAGGTGTAACAGCAGAACTGGAGTAAAAAAGGTCACACCTCGAAGGACTTTCTGACATTTTGCTTCACCACGATGTATGTTTTACATCTAGATCACGTCCATAGAATATTAACATGCAGAAAAGCAGCATGCTGTTGGAATGTGGGGATTCATTTAGTGTAGCTGTTTTAGTTTTTTTTACACTGATCAGCCATAACAGTAAAATCTGTGACAGCTGAAGTGAATAATGTCGATAATTTAGTTGTAATGCAACGTTCTGCTGGCATTCATGCAGATGTTAGGCTACCACCTACCACCCGTCCTAACGTTGCTGCAAGTCATGCACATGCTCCCCCCGACAACAGCACTCCTCGATGGCAGGAGTTCCCCCCAGTAGGACACTGTGTCCTACCCCACTGCAAAAACACGGCTTAAGCAGGATGACCAAGAGCCCAGCCTTCAAACTCCCTAGATCCCAATTTATTCAGGCACCCACAAGATGCACCAGAACGGGTTCGATCCACAGTGCAGGTCACAGGACCCGAAGGACCTACTGCCAGCATCCCTGTGTCAGACAACACAGGACACGGCCAGAGGTTCAACGTCCATGTCCTAATGGGTCTCAGCTACTTCAACGGGTCACAAGGGGGACCTACAAAATACCAGGTAGGTGGTTTTAATGTTGTGGCTGTCAGTGTCCATTTTACATATAGTAAAACAGACTAATCTTATATGTACTTGTCACAAGAAAATTGTCTTGGATGTGGGCTTTTTTGCAGATGAAATAAAAAACATTTCAAGCTGATATTTTAGGGAGTGGGTTAGGACTGCTGACGTCTGATGTCTGACTTGCAAAAGGCTGGAAAAAAACATAATTCATTTACAAATTAAAAGACAAAGGAAAAAATGAAGAAAGTAGAGATGATAACACTAATAAAACTTACTTAAATAACAATCTGAATTGTCTCTATTCATTAGAGTTGTGCGTTAATTAGCAGATATATCACTCCCTTAGTGTGTTTTTGAAGTATTATAGTCTGTTCATTTCTCTTGTCCTGGCACTAAGAGCAGACATTGTGAGAACTGTGCATTTGAGATGATAAGTAGGTATAAGTACGGGCAGAAGATGAAATAGTCCTAATTTGCCTGCCCATCATCTCCCTTTCTCTCTCTGAATGTAGAAATATTCACCATTTTCTGTTCTTTCTTCTCCATCTTCATCTTTCGCAAATGCACTGTGGAAAGGTTTTCATCAAGACAAGGTCTTTGTGAATCAGTGACTAAGTAACGACTGATATTTTTGGACTGCCTGCGTCTAGACGTGCATTCATGTTTTTGTAGATTTAAAAATGAAATCTGAAGTATACTAAAAACAAAAGAACAGAAGGAGCAGAAGAGCACCTATGTCATATGTTGTCCAGCAGATCTTGCATACACATTCGTGTTAACAAGTATGATATTCTGTGAATAACTTCTGGATTTGAAGAACTGAAGAAAATCCTCTCTTGGTCTAAGTAAAACAAATAACTGATGTTTTTTTTGTTTTTTTTAAAAACAAATTAGCTTTTAGATTCACATGTTGCAAAATATTACATAAACATGCATTAACATCCATTTGCCCTTAGAGTGAAGCTGTTGAAATTAGATCAAGTCTTTTAAAGTCTTGGCTAAAGGCTACAGACACTGTTTTCATTGTGGTTTCCTTCATTTTCAGGGGGCATGAGTTTTTGATGTTCTTAGGTTTAAACTAATTCAGCTACACATTCACACTGATCATACACAACAGTAAAACCAACTCTTTAATATTGTGCAGGTCCTCGTGGCTTTTAAACAGCTCTTACCATTAGAGGCATGAGATCCACTGACCTCTGAAGATGTGCTGTGTATCACGCACCAAGACATGAGCAGCAGATCCTTTAAGTCCTTGAAGTTACAAGGTGTGTGGTCTATGGACCTGTTGCTCAAGCACATCCAACAGACACTCAAACAGATTGAGATCTGAGAAATTTGGAGTCCAAGTCAACACCTTAAACTCTTTGTTGTGTTCCTCAAACCTTTCCTGAACAATGTTTGCAGCATGTTCGGGAAAACTATCCTGCTCAAAGACACCTTGGGAATACTGGTGCCATGAACAGGTGTCACAGTAACATCCACATAAATGCAGGATTCAAGGTTTCTCAGTAGATCATTGCCTGGAGCATCACATTGCCTCCACTAGTTTGCCTTCAGGTGGGTGACACAAACACTTACCTGGCCATGTACACGATGTAAAAGACAACATGATTCTTTAGACCAGGGATCCTCTTCCATTGGTAACGCTCACATGCCCATTATAGGCGCTTTTGTTGCTGAGCAGGTTTCAGCATGAGCAATGTGACCCATCTGGAGTTCCTGAGCCCGTTGTGTAGCTAGCTACAGTATGTTTGTTTTGACACCTTTCCATCATACGTACAGTTGCTCCTCTGTAGGACTGGACCACATATGTCTGCTTCACTTCCCCCACATGCATCAGTGAGCCTTGGTTCATATGACCCTGTCATCAGGTGACTGCTTGTCCTTCCTTGGACCACATTTGGTGGGTATTAATTATTACATACTAGTAACGCTATACAACCGTTTTGAAAAGGTTCTGTTGTCTAGCTATCACAACTTAGCCCTTGTCAAAGTCGCTCAGATCCTGCCTGTTTTCGTGCTTCCAACACACCAACATTAGAAATTGACTGTTCACTTGCTGCCTAATACATCCCACCCCTTGACAGATGCCGTTGTAACGAGATGATCAATGTTATTCACCTCACCTGTCAGTGGTTTCAAAGTTGCGGCTGATTGGTATACACTAGGGATGTTTGGGCCAATCAAGGTAATTTTAAACTGATTGGTATTGATACAAATATTCTTTGTTTACATAGGCTGTCACGCTGGTGTCACAAATTTTAAGATTTTTTGTAACAACTGTAGCAATTTCAATCAATAATTGATTTACTTATGATGCAAACTGAGCACAATGGACATTTGTCCCATGCTGATTTTGCTGTTTTAAGCCACATATATACAGCAGTTACATTTACCACTGAGATATAAAACATGGTTTTTATTAAACATGTATGCTGGCCAGGAGTCATTAAACATTACAGAAGACTTTAACGTGATGTCCCTTTGCTAGCTAAACTTCCCGCCTCCTCTGGTCGCTGCAGCATTAAACACTAAGAGGCTCCACCTGTTGGTGCAATTAAGTGCTACAGCTAAAATCTAGAATACTTGAAATGTGTATTATCTTGGAAAATGGGAGCAGATACTAAATATTTAACTATACTGATCAGATCAGGACAAAAAAATAAAAAAAGTACTTGATCGGCACATCCCTAGTATACGGAAACTTTAACAGAAGTCACTTGTGGGATTCAAACTGAATTAATGTGTCACAGTGAATACGTCTGTGTATCAATATTTTAAAGGTTTGAGTCTTTGGGGAAATGGCACGAGTCTACCAAGGACTCTCCAACAACTGGATCTTGTCAAAGTTTGTTTTCCCACTGAACCTTGCCTTGAAAGGCACAGACAGTTGTACCAAGTAACATCAAGAACGGCTGCATTTCATTCAGCCTCTTGTACTGTTTATGCTGCCTCACTGGCATTACAGCAACGCCTTAAACGAACAGACATTATTATTCTTAGTTACACCTGTGTGTTTCCTGCCAGGACAAGTCAAAATGAGAAAAGTCTGGTGGATTACCTTCAATTTGACAATGAGGTTTTCTTTGTGCTTGTAGCAGTGCAATGTTCCAATACGACTCTTCTTTTCTTTGGTCACTATGTACTAAAAGCATTTTGGAGTGGTACATTATGCGTCTTTATTTTTGATTGTTATCTTTCATTTCCCACAATAAAACGCCCACGCTCTTGTTGATGCCTGTCCTGTGCTTGTGCTTCTTTAATTAAGTATCTGAATACTGTGACGGAAGCTTTAAAGCTGTCCTCTTGCGAAATGAAATGAGATGTCACAGACTTGCCATTCAAACTCAAGAACAGCTTACTGTGCCAAAAAATATAAATGCTCAGAATGAATAACAACCAAACCCATTTCTTGTTAACCTTGTAAGGCAAGAACACGCAACTTCTTTTTGCTCTCGGGGCAGCGAAAGTACAGTGTGAATTCCTTTTATTCCACATGTCTCATCATTATGTTGTTGATTGTGGGGAAAAGAGGATGGAGAAATGAGAGACTCTGAAAGGCAATCTTGCTCGCTAATGGCCTGCAAAGTTATCAGTTGCGGCTTAGTGAAGCTTAAAGCGGCTTCATTGGGATGTAATAGCTGGCAAAGTTGTCCTCCATTCACTCTAGCTAATCCTTCCTTCAGGGCTTTCTCTCACAATCAGAGATTCATGGAAAGAGGCAGCAAGAGAGGGCTGTATGAAGCAAGGAAGAAAATGATGACGACAAAAAGAAAATTGCAATCAGGCACAGGATGAAAAGAAATTTAAACAGCAACCAAAACGCCATCAGGATTGAAGCGTTGGATGATGCCGGCGAGTGTTCCGAGTGTGATTTAGGCAAGCTGCTGAACGGATCGCTACTGTCTCATTCTGCCCTCCTATGAAGCACTTTTGTGCAATTATTCAAGTAATAAACATGGCAGCAGGGTGGCTCTTATTCATTCCAAGGCGATCACTACTCGCTCTCGTTCCCTGCCGCTGGAAACGACACACAAAATTTCTGTTTGATACCCACTCGGCTTGTGCCTCTCCATTTCAAAGAAGAAACAGCTCACAGCCCCGGGGCGTAAATCTTAATCTCTTTATTTATTTTAACTGTGAGTCTCCTGCTTTCTCGCTCTCTCTCTCTCCCCGTTTGTGATTCAAATGTAATTTTCAACATCTTTTGGCTGCTGTACCTCTTTGTTGCCGCTGTATTTCTATGTTTACCATATGTCGTCAGCAGTTTCCATGCTGGTCCCAACACCGTACGAAAACAAAAATGTTTCTGACTGATGCGCCCGGACGGATTGCTTGGTCTCTTGGAGATTTGTGAGTTGTTCTACTTTTTTAGCAAATTTCAGTGAAAATATGCAAGGTTTAGATCAAAATGCTTGCACAGGGTTCACAATGTAATCAAGAACACAGTTACATATTTGAATAAAACTGCTGTTGAGAAAGACTTAAACTTAAAAACAGATGAAGCGGAAAAGAGCTTCTGAAAAATATAATGTAATGGATTTATTACTTTGATGTATGTTTTAATTTTTACATATAGGCAACAAACAAAATGAAAAACTAAACAGCATGTCACCACAGGGCACTAAAACATGAAAACTATTCTTCCAGAAGACATAAAAGATATGCGGTGTGCTTTCTCTCTCTCTCTCTTATTTTTCAGCCCTTTCTTTATTTGTTTCTCCAACAAGCATTTATAACACTAGAGTGGCTGTAACTGTCAATATGCAGACATCAACCAATCAAATAACCCCAGTGTTTTTAAATGAAGTCATAAAGATGATGTTTTCTTCTGTACTGATGTGGCTTCTTCTGATTTTCTGATTTTATGTGTACTGAATAAATAAACACCATAACCTCAAGCTGAAAAAGGCTGCTGCATATAAAACAACTGTCAGATTAAAGTATAGCTGTAAACAATCCCAACAACAGTGTAATGGCTGTTCCCTGTTTGATTTCAGCTTCTTTAATGCCCAAGAAAAACTTCAGCATGACTGTGTGTTTGTAGATCGTTATAGCTGTACGCAAACAAACACACTGACCTTGCCAGCAGGCGCCCACGGTCAGCTGCGTATCAATCTTCGAGGTATGGATCGGCCAGTCGTCTGTCACCAGATAGGGTTCATAGGTCACACCGTCCACAAACAGTGTCACTGCAGGAAATTCCACGTTGATTACATAATAGTGCCATTCCTTGTCGCAGATCTGCAAAGCAAAGCGAAAAAATGATCACATTATTAAGCTTAAGTAGGGTCCACAGAGGCCATTCATTATACATTCAAATAAGACAATATTCCTGATTTGCACATATGGGAGTATTGGGGAAGCTTTAAAAATACATTATTCAGGCAACTACATGTCTTTTTTAGGAGACTTATTTAGGTTAGGAGCGTTTTTCCGTGGAGGATTATGTTTATGGGGCTGCTGCTACGAAGATGATTATGTTTACTCCAATCATCCAGTCAGAACCGGAGGCACATCCTTGAACGTTGCCTGCTTTTTCTACCTTCAATAAATGAGACGCAACAAATTCCTCTCTTCTTCCCTGGATCATTTGCTCTCTGTCGTCAGATAGCTAATGAGGTTTCCGTCTAATGAGCTGTTCATTAAAAGCACACGATGAGTGACAAACACAGCTGTGTGAAGATTCATGCTCCGTGCAACTTTTTATCAACCGTCACAAACATTCTTTGATTATTTGGAGAACTTTTAAACACACATCTCGTCCTCTTGCATCTGTACCCGCCACAAATATGTACACTTTCCTCACACCAGGGTCACAAAAACATCTTTAGCTACTCCTTTGCTAATATGGCTTAAGTTAATGATGTCAAACCTCCCATGTTTACAACTTGTCGGCATTAACATACAGGCAACTCAAAAACTCAGCTGCCAGTCATTTGATGTGACTGCTCCTCACTCATTACTGGAGATTCCAGCTGTTTTAATCGGTAACCACTAATGGAACAAAAGTGTTCTTCAATAAACGTCAAGAATTGCAACAAACATGATCGTTGGCCACTCTACAGGTCTGTAATTTAAAAAAAAAAAAAATGCTTGTTCAATACAACAGCATATCTGTAACATTAAGTCATAAATAAACGCCAGTGTTGACTCGTGGGCTCTTTACAAATTGTGAACTGGGGATTACGGTATGAACCCAGCATGAGAACGTGCTCGTCCGTATGTGCAACGCTGCATTCATGTTGCATTCATGTTGCAAAGGAAGATGAGAAGGAAAAAGATTCTCATGATTCCAATTTGCAAGCGTTAATAACATCAGACAACTGAAGAAGACTGTAATTGCAGAGTTGGTCCTGTGAGGGCAAAAGCTGCAATAACTGATGTTTTCTGGCAGCGGACACAAGTTGTAAATGGCGCTGACGTATCCTTTCATTTTAAGTTAGTATGATGAATTTATTATCAAACCGTTCCTTATTTACATATCTAGCACTTACAGGGCAAAATCAACAGATGCATATGTTGGAATTAGAGCATCCATTCTGTTTGCACATTTCACTATAACAAAAATGTGGCATTTGCTGACTGACAGCTGACCTGCCCATGACCGACCGCCTGATGGAGCACCCTGCACAACCCTGTTGGGTGATGAACATGTCTGGCCCAAAGCATAAATAAATGACACATATAACACTGTGTAGGGTCCTGAAAGCAACAACACATTGGCCTACAACTACAGCGACTACGCGCAGCAAAAAGTGCACTTCCTTTAAAAGGTGCTTATTTCAGGCTACTTGAGTTAAATACAGTTTAAAAAGGCATTTAAAAAGAAGTCCTTGTGTTATGACTACAGCATTTGTTTTTCTGCAACTGAAGCGGTGAGAAGGATTTGGTTGTATTTATCAATACTAAAAAAGAGAATGTCTGCTAATTTAGGATTCACAGACAAACACAGCAGGAAAACATTCAGATCAATTTTCATTTCGTTGGATTCCTCATCAAGGCCCAACGGCCACGCACACAAACTCACACACACAAACACCTGACTCATGAACGAATGGAGATGAAACGTGTGTTGGAGCAACCAGGAAGTCCCAGAAACCCCTCCCACACAGCATCACGTCTGTCAGCAGGTACTATGGTTTTATTTAGATCATTATGTGCAGATGCGAACACCGTGATTCAAAGCCACTTCTACTTGGATACACTGAAGTGCGTTATGATGGGATGCCCAGCCACTGTTGCTCTGTTTTTAAGCTTCCTGGACTGTACATACACGGAAACATGCTGAGAAGCCATGAGTGTATTAACATTGACAGTATGTTTTAGTCTCATCATCTCACTTTCAGGACTTGTGCGGGTACTTGACTAGACAGGCAGAATGAATTGCCACTTCTGTTTAGCCGCTGGCTGGCTGACTGCCTGTAGAGGTGAGAGGAAAGTTACACGTCTCTACAATTATCTACACTGTTTATGTGGGTGACTGCCTCCTCTTTCACTGAACTTACTATTCTCAAAGCATTGATTACGGATACGTGGAGTTTAGAAAAGCATTGCCAGATAAGTCAACACCTGCATAATGCATTGACCCTATAATGAAAGGAATCTGAAAAAAACAAAAAAACAAACTGACAACAGTGAATTATGAAAAATAAAAGAAAAGCACAAGCCAGCACTAGCGGGTCTTTGAGGCTGTACAGAGAGCTACAGTGCTGTGAAAAAGTATTGAGATATCCTCAATTTTTGCATATTTGTCACCCTTAAATGTTTCAGATCATCAAACTAATTTTAATAAAGATAACTAAAGAAAACACAAAATGCAGTTTTTAAATGTTGATTTCATGTATTGAATGAAAAATGCTGTTCAGATCCACCTTGCTCTATATGTGAAAAAGTAATTGATCTCTTAGCTACCAATCTACCAAATGATAAAATTCATTTGGCAATTGGGTTCTGTTCTACCCACCACACTCACATATGATCACTGCTAGGCTTGTTAAAGCTAAACGTCACCTAAATAGAACCTGTGTGGCATTGTGAAGTAGCTAAAGGGTCTCAAAAGCACATGATGCCACGTTCTAAACTGATTCAGGAACAGATGCGACAACTAATTCATTGACATTTATCCGTCTAGAAAGGGCTACAAAGCCACTGTTAAGGTTCTGGGACTCCAGCGAACCATAGTGAGAGATGTTATCCACAAATGGAGAAAACATGACACATTGGTGAACCGTTCCAGGAGTGGCCGGCCGACCAACATTTCTCAAAGAGGGCGTCGACATTTCATCCAGGAGGTCACAAAATAACCCAGATGAACATCAAAAGAACTGCAGGCTCCACTTCCCTCAGTTAAGGTGGGTGCACATGATTCCACAATAAGGAAGACACTCTGCAAAGATGGCTCCATGGGAGAATTACAAGGCGAAAACCACCCCTGACCAAAAAGAAGATAAGAGCTTGTCTGGCATTTGCAAAAAAAAATAAAAAATTAAAAATAGATGAGCCCCGAGACTTTTAGGATAACATCCTGTGGACTGATGAGTCCAAAGTGGAGCTTTCTGGATGTTTTTTCTGGTCCCGTTACATCTGGCGTAAAGCTAATACTGCTTCCACAAGAAGAACATGACACCAACAGTTAAACGTGGTGGTGGTAGTGTGATGGTTTGAGGACCTAGATGATTTATCATAACTGATGGAGCCATGAATTCTGTTATCTATCAGAAAAACCTCCTAGAGAATATCCACCCATTAATTCATGACCTAAAGCTCAAACACACATGGGTTACACAGCAGGACAATGGACCAAAGCACACAAGCAAGTCCACCTCAGCATGGCTCAAAAAGAGCAAAATTAAGGTAAAGTCCAGACTTGAATCCAACTGAGATGCTGCAGCAAGACCTTAAAAGGGCAGTTCATGATTGAAAACCACCAAATGTGGCCAAATTAGAACTATTCTGCAGAGAAGAGTGGGCCAGAATTCCTCCATGGTGATGTAAAAGACTGATCACAAGCTATTGCAAACATTTAACTGCAGTTGTTGCTGCCAAGGGCCCAACCAGTTATTAGGTTTACAGGGTTTCACAAGGGTGATATGAGAGTTCAGTAAATCTTTAATAACTCATCATTTAAAGAACGCATTTGTGGTTTGTGGGTTATCTCTGTTTAATAGTAAATAAACATCAATATCAGTTTGATGATCTGGGACATTTAAACACACAGATAGAAGACATCAGGAAGGGGGCAAATACTTTTCCACTAGCCCCAGGTTATCTGTACTATGTTCCATGTCGCTTGCTTAGGCCATTAGAGCAGCATTTATTAGCAGTTCTTTGATCTAGACTGGCACCTAAAGCCAACCGGGCTCTCTCAGTGGCACCTCCAGAACTTAGGAACATGTTTTATTTAAAATTTTGCCATCCATGACTGACTCAGCGGCACCCAGCAGTTCTGTGACAAAACCACAGGGATTTTCAGCTTAACAGGCTGCGCTCACAAAGAGCAGACAACAAACCAGTATGGAAAATCATTTAAAAAACAAGGTCACATGGTTCGTTATATGAACAAACAAACTATAGATATTAAATAAGTAGTTTAAATAATCAAAGAAATTCATCTTTTTTTTGTGATTTATGGTATTATAACTGCATCAAACTGCAAAGAAGACATTTTAGGTTCTTCCTACTTCTAGCCATGGCGTTTCCACAGAGGTGCAGGACTTTATATTTCATGAAAAATGAGTAAAAATGTGATGGGAACACAAAATAATGGGTTCAGTGGGTTAAAAATATATTTTTACTCGCTGGCTTTTCCAGTTTTATTGGGATGTACAGTACCAATGACTACTTTTGTAACTTATCATGCAATTATTTGAAATACTTTTGCTGTAGCGGTTTACTTATTTTATAGTTTATAACGAGGTGACGTTGTGCAACACGTTGGTCCATGTGTTGTTGTGTTTAAATGTGATATATAAATAGACTGACTTGACTAAACACACATGTCTGCGCTAAATCAAGATGTTTCGCTGTTACAAAAAAAATGTGAACCTGATGGTTGCACTAGAGTCACAGTATAATGAGAGGCATTAAACTTCATCTTCTGCAGGACATAGATGTCTGCAGCAAATTTCACGTCAAACCTTTATTAGTTATTGAATGCATCTGTACCAAAGTGGTGAACTGACAAAAACAGACACTGTCATCCTCAGAGGCGTGCTGCTCACACAAACATTTGGCAAATGGCA